TTTCCCTAAGGGCTTAGGTGTGAGTTTTCTCTGTTGTCCTTTTCAGGACACTGATTCTTGGGTGGATATCTTACAAGCTTCAAGTGACCTTGGGTGCTTAGAAGTTCTCCACTCGTCCCTGGATTCCAACAAGGCAGCATTAGCATTTGAGTGACTGGAAAAGCGTTTGCAGCCTGTGTTTTAGGCCACATGTTTGTCATAGTGTGTATCTATCCCCCATCAGGTAATAGGTGCCCTGTCCCCTTCAGGTCCTTATTAGAGGGTTTGCTGTATCTTTTTTTTTTTTTTTTTTTTTTTGCGGTACGCGGGCCTCTCACTGTTGTGGCCCCTCCCGTTGCGGAGCACAGGCTCCGGATGCGCGGGCTCAGCGGCCATGGCTCACGGGCCCAGGCGCTCCGCAGCACGTGGGATCCTCCAGGACTGGGGCATGAACCCGTGTCCCCTGCATTGGCAGGCGGACTCTCAACCACTGCGCCACCAGGGAAGCCCGTTTGCTGTATCTTTGTAGGAGCTCCACTGACCTTTATTTTTTTTCCTCCTGGATTTGAAATACAGCTTCTCCCTGTTCCTACTGATTTCTGTTCCTAATTCCTGAGAAATCATGGAAGAGTTTCTTCCCTGGTGCAGTCTGCAACAGACATGCATACTTTCTATATTCCAAACAAATAGGGCTTTCTTCTGCCTTACAGAGCCCAGGTATTTTTTTCCTTGAATCTACCACACAAGAACTAAGGTCTTCCTGTTGCCATGTGGTCATATTTGTATCACATTTGTGACCATGCCACTCTCTGTTTCAGAAGAAAAAATAATTGTCATAGTCTTTAATGAGCACTCCATTCTTAGTATGGAGGGAAGCCACTTGTGCCCAAATGAGCGAAACCACTTACACCATTCCCTGGGATTCTGTCTTTTGAGAATTCAGTGTTTGGTTGGGGGGCTGAGTCACACCTGTATTTACTTTAATTCTACAGTTCCTAACTGGTGACACAAGGTCAGACATCGTTTTCTCATGGCAACTAGTAGTACCTTCCTCTCTTTCTTCGCCCAAATTAAGCTTCACTCACAGCAAAACTCATGGGTGTCCCTGCACTCTCTGATGAAAGTCTGTTTTCCTGAATAGTCTTCACTGTGAACTACTCTCAGCAAGTGCTCAACCCAGGTCTGTTTTTTCGAGTTATGCTCTGTAGTGCCTTGTCATGGGACACACTGCAAAGAGGTCTTTCATCTTTCTGCTAATGTGCGGTCAGAAAGAAACCTGGCCTTATGCATGTAGAAACCTCTCCACATTACCTGAGCTCTGACTCTTCAGACTTTGTCAGGCATTCTGTCGGGGTAGCATCTGAGGCTGGTGGTCTCACACTTATAATTCCTATGGCTGGAAGACTTTTCATTGATCTCTGTCGCTTTTCTGCCCCAGAAGCCTGCCAGTCCTCTAATATTTCAGTGGCGTGTCTAAACACAGTGCAGAATTCTCTTCTCCAGTTTCTGAAAGTGTTTCTGCAGTAGCACTGGACCAAGGGTTTCTGTCTTTGACTGATAACCAACCTCAGAGTAGATTCCCATTCTCATGGGAATCCTGTTTTAGCCGGCGAACGTGGAGGGTTTTAATTCATGCCTAGTATATTGCTAACGATCTTTTTTTAGTCTTCCAGAAAAGATTGATTTTTCTAAGAATTCATGTGCTCATTGTGGCTGGAATGGTTATCAGTTTCTTACCTGCTCTTTCACATAGGGAGTTGTGAGTCTCACCCACTCCAGTAATGGCACTTAATGCTCTGTAAGCCTGTCTTTTCATGCTGAACATCTCATCTCAGATGGAACATCCCACCATTTGATTTCAGAGGAGTTGCCATAGCTTCTTATCTGATTATGAATCAGTAGTTCAGGGTCATCATGAACCAGTCTAAACTGCCAAGCACCATGCATCCTAGCATTAGATAATCGTGGAGAAGAAATGTGCACTATTGACGATTGATTCAGTCCTAGGATGATTATTCAGTAAGAGATACAACTGGGCACTGTACCTTAGTTCAGAGAATTGATTTTTCAAAAAAAAAGCTAAGGTATACTCATAGTCTAAAGCTTAATTAGTTTAGGGAAGAAATGGAAAATGTTTATTTACCATACTTATTTTTTAATTGTCAAAAACAACCACAAATCCTTTAGTCATGAAGAAATAAAAATTGCTGTTAACAAACAAAGCCAGATGTGGATTTCTCCCTCATTATTGCTCAGCTATTATATTTTTGATCATTTTTACCTTTCACTTAAACCTATAAAATCACAAGATACAGATAATTTTATTTTTAAGTAGACCGAAATCTAACCTCAAATTTTCCACACTCAAACTTTAAAGAAAATGTAGGCATTTTAGCAAATTTGAATTTTGAGCAAATTCTTCCTAGAAGTCATTTACAGTCACATGAGGATGAGGCTTTTCAGCTGTCTTTTTATATATGTTTTTTTGGTTGTTTTTTTTTTTTTTTGGTTGTTTTTGTTTGTTTGTTTAGTTTTTTTTCATGTGGGCCATTTTTAAAGTCTTTATTGAATTTGTTACAATATTGCTTCTGTTGTTTTTTATGTTTTGGTTTTTTGGCCGTGAGGCATGTGGGATCTTAGCTCCCGGGACCAGGTATCGAACCCACATCCCCTGCGTTGGAAGGCGAAATCTTAACCACTGGACCGCCAGGGAAGTCCCGATATATGTTTTCTCTCTGAAAACAAGAGCACTTATTGATGCCCTTTTAAGAGATGTAATACTGAGGTCCTTTATAGTTTTAGTTTAACATTTTGGTAAAATGTTTACTCATTACATTTACATTACTCTTTCCATAATTTTTTTTTTGGTTTGTACAATATCATTTTCTTCAGTTTATTTTCAAGTATAATGATGAACTACATTAACCTTCCATCTGGCAAAGAGTGTTTCAGAAGCCAGTTAACTTAATTTTGTGATTAAAAAAAATTTAATCATATAATAAATTGTATTATATCATCTTATGAATTATAATATACTTTAAGAGTATTTTTTCTATAATTTCTACCTAACATTCTTTTCTGTATTACATTTTATTAACTCTAGGGAAGAAGAGCAAGTAACTTGGGGAAATAACATAAAATTAAAGCTACTAATTCCTAAGAAAATTAAATTTAATGTTGACATAATTGAGACTGAACATTCTGTGTATAAAGTATTCCACCATAAAGCGGTTGTAAACTTGATGGAAAAAAAAAAGACTTTGCTTTGCTATGGATTTTGCCATCCATCTTTTTTTTTTGGTAGGGGGAGGCAGTTGAAATTGAAATTTCAAGGCATCATTAATTTTCATAGCCAATGTAAAGTATGTTATCTGCGTTTGAAAGCATGAAATATTTTTTATAACTGCTTATAGGGATGTTGATTTGATCAGATAGCAAAAATTAAAATAATGATTTCTTTCCTATATAGTGTGATTTTTAATTTAACTATAGTTAATATTGTTAATAGAATCCAGTAATCAAATACAGGGTGTTTGGAACCTGATCTTACAGTAAGTGCTATAGTGCTAGGAGCTGAGAGATAGTGATCTTTAAATATGAGGTTATCAAGAGTGCATCTCATTTATTATTGGCACCTGCTACTTACTTAAGGTGTTATGATTGCTCATGGTGTGCTGAGATTACACGGAAGAAAACTGTTTCTGTGATTGTCCCTTTTTTTGTTGGCTCTGAATTATCTTCTCTTCTACATTCCATTTCTGCTATCATTTCTAATGGCTCTGCCTCACCACCACATCCTAAACTGTGATGTAGGGACCGTGATTACATCTAAATGTGTTCATACTAATGACCCTCCACTTCCAAATTTTAATACAGGGTTTAGAGAAGAATGGATAGATTTAGAAGCTTTTGAACATTGATGAAGGTGTCTTTGCACATTTGCATTAAAATACTAATGCATATTAATAAAACACAACTCTGCAGTAGTTTTCTTTTGTGACAGAACGGAACAAATATTAAATACTCTTTGGGTGGGAGACTGTTCAGAAAGAGAGCAGTTACTCGCTCACATGTTGAACTACGAAAGTCAAGAATATTTTAACTAGCACAATCCTCTGGGGTTCCTGCTTCTCAGGTCTCCCTTCTTATATAATTATGGAATATTCAAAAAGGTTTGCTTTTGTGATTGAGCTTATTATTAGTGTGCCTATTTTTATGTTATTTGGGATTGGGGGGAGGAAGGAGGAAATACACATTTAGTGAGAGCTATTCATTAGCCACCATTGAAGAAGAAATTGAACTTTAAAGAATCTATCAAAAATTCTCTGGTGAGCCTTTTATTACTATCTTGTCTTGAGCCCTTTTTTTAATGACATCTATTATCAGATTGAAATGGCGATTGAGACGCTGCAAAAGTCTGACGGTCTGTCCACTCACAGAAGCTCTCTTCTCAACAGCCATGTAAGTTGCCTCTTCTTCATGTAAACTAATCTCTTGCTTGTTCTGCATGTGTTGCTTGCTTCTAAATGCTTGTTTTTATTTATTTACTTATTTATTTTGCTTCTTAACCTTCCTTTCTCAGCCCCTTATGATCTCTGTATCACTTAATGGCAATTTTGCACAGTGAAATATCTAAAAATAGAGCCCCCAATATACTTCACTAGGTTTTTTTTACTGTTTTGGTACAGATATATTTCCAAGTTAATAACAAGCTACCAAATATTGGTAAAAAGTAACTGATGATTGAAATTTTTCTAGTGTGACATTTATTTACTGTGAAGCAAATGTTTATAATCTGCATCTTCGAGTCTGAGACAGAGAAATGGTCGTGTCTGTTTGTATGACCAGTAATATTCTTTGTAAGTGGAAAAAAGATTGTTAATGCCAAACCCAATGATAAACTGTTCGAAATGATTTATTTACCAGTAAGGCTATATAAAATGAGCAGGAAACAGCTACCTAGAGGAGCTCAGGTCCTAAGACCTAAAGAAAAATGAATCTGGGCCAAAAGAAGAAGTGAGATTCTAGATAAGCCTTAAACTGCCAATAATTCAGATAAAACAGGATTATTGTTACTATTTTTTAAAGCTTTTAACTGTTATCAGATGCAGCATCACTACAACACCGGTGAGTGTAAGAAGAATGATGACAATTTGTGAAACTACAAACATTTTCATCAGATGTTCAAATTTTGGGGACTCAATGAAAATGTTGATTAAAAATTATTTTGTTATCATGATTTCTGAATATATGGGAAAAAGTAAATAGACCTATTATTTAAATCTGTCTAGACAGTTCTTCTGCTAAATTAATGTCAGTAACAATATAGTAAGAATTAGAGTTTTCCCTCCCAGCTGACAGTGTATTCTTAAATTTGGAGATAAAATTATTATTTTTAATTCTTCCCCATATTTTGTGACTGAAAAGTCCAAAATTGGATCACCCAAGTGAAATAAAATATCATTATTTTTTTCAATAAACCTGAAACATTTAGCTCATAGAAAATGTTTCACTGTGCTTTTTAAATATTTGAATTTTCAAACATTTAAATTTTATATTCCAACATAACACAAAATACTTCCTTATGTTCTTACACATTTATTTTTAGATGAAGTGGTTTGTTTCTTTTTCAAAGGGAAGTATATCATGACAAATAAAAACAAGTTAACCTACTTGGAGAATGACTACAATTTTGGTGAAAATTATAGATTCTAAATTATAAAACAATATATACCTTGGCCCTTCTTTTGAAAGCTTAAGGAATATGATTTTTCCCCTTTCTGAAAGTTTGTATGCAGTACATCACTCTTTTATATGTTTCATAGGTATATTCCTG